CAGGTCCCGTATCTACCAGCGAGCTGTCATCTCCCCCCCACACTGATCCACTGTGCCTGGTTCTCCACACTTCACATGCTGTGCCCAGGCACCATTCAGCAAATGTTTGGCCACTCTGCCCTCCCATCACCTCACCGTGCTTGTCCCTCTCCACACTGCAGATCGTGGCCAGGCTCCGTTCGGACAGCAACACACCTTTGTTCCTTGGCAGGAACAGTTCTTAGTCTCACTCCCAAGACTAGCCTCCTCCAGTCCCTGAGTGACCTCATGGCGGATCGCCATGAGGTCAAATTATGGTGCTGATCTCGAGTTCCTCATTGAGGCCGTGGGGAGAGAGTGTGTTGAGTTTATATATCCAATATGTTTCGTGTTTGCATAGTTCATGAAATCTCTCTGCTGAGACCCTCTACAGAGACCCTGACGTCGATGACTGCACACCCATGTGAACCTCATGGTGAGTTACTACACTCTTTTTTTCTTGGCACCATCACTTATGCCTCATTTGTTACCTCTCTCTCCCTCCCGCCTCTAACACCAAACTGAGCATCTGACGATACACAAACCTCCATTCGTCAAGCCCTCCAGGCCTGAACACCCCCCTGCACCCTGTTCCCGAGGGTAGTAGCGCTTTAGACTCAGTCTTTTTGTTTTGTCTGCTCTGTCTTTCTAAGTTGGACACCCTCACAGAATAACTTCCCTTTTTTTTTGCTGTTTTGGAACCCACTCCCCAACACATCCGGAAGAGCGCTGCCACAGATAGGACTCGGGTCTCAAAACTTTCCATGTATTTTATACCAGTCCACTGTACACATCAGTCACTCACTGTGCCTATATTTTATCCAACTGTTGATCTCCACGTCACTGTATTGGAAGTCCCCACCTGAAGTTCGACATATCAAGCATCGCACTACCTCTAAAGAGACCCCCAACTCCCAAAGCTCAGATCCACCTGATTACATGTGAGTATAAACATCTCACACATTCTTCACCCCTCCGCTCTACCATGTTTTATCTGCGCTAGGTCGTCGCGCTTCTTCCTCCTTTTTGTTTTCTCTTCAAGGAGCCCTGGGGACGAAGAAAACCCACCTAAGATCCGTCCCCTATGGAGTCTTAGGTGCAAGCATTTTCCCGGCCATGTGGGACACGACCGCAAAAGATGATCTGCGAGGCCGCAGTAGAGACATAGCCCCTCTCGTCTCCTATAGGCCCTTTCAGCTTCGGACAAACAGGTAACTCCCACTTGCATGGGTTAAATACCTCCAGTAGACAACTGACCGGATGGTGAGGATGGAGAGGGCGGTGTGAGAGGGGAGGAAAACGATGGAGCCAAATTGTTAAGAGGCCTACGCAGGCGCTCCTTAAACGAGGGCCTCTCACGGATCTGGTGTCAATGAGAATCAGGAATGACACCAGCTCCTCCAGATCGCTAGGTAATTCCTTAGCAGCCACTTCATCCTTGATGTTATCAGAGACCCCATGGAAAAAGGCTGCCACCAGTGCCTCATTATTCCAGCCTACGTCTGCTGCTAGGGTACCGAACTCTATGGCCTACTCGGCTACAGTTCTCATACCCTGCTGGATGGACATAAGCTGTTTAGTGGCGGAGAGGGATCGAGCTGGCACATCAAATACTCGTATGAAGGAGGACACAAATTCTGGCTAGTTGAAAATAATGGGCTTATCCATTAGCTCAGGCTAATGCTTTATCTGTCAGTAATAATATCAAGAACCCGACCTTCGCCCTGTCACCAGGAAATGCCTGCGGAACCAACTCAAAATAGATTCCCACCTGGTTCTGGAATCGGCGGCAATGATTGGTGTCGCCCCATAGCGTTGGGGTAAGGGAGCTTGACCCTACAAGCCCCTTCCAGGGGTAGGCTCAGGAGAACGGAAGGACCAGCAGGGGTAGTGGCAGGGCCCAGAGACAGGGCATTAGTTGGGTCCAAATGAGCCGTGCGAGAGAGCAGGATCGGCATGCCCTGAATGAACCGCTCATTTCTTTGCCAATCAAACCTAGTAAAAATAGTCTGCAACAGAGAGGGACTGGGGTTTACACTAGCACAGTCTGGATTCATGGCCCTTGCGTAATGTCAGAGCACATTGAAAACCATAAAATACAAATATTTATTAGGAACAGTGTCCACAGGAGCAAGCAAAAATCATAAACCGGAACAAGCCAAGGTCAGGAGCCGGATTGGGTAGTCGTAAAAGCCAGGTCAGGAACACGGAGGTCAACGTTTTCAGGAACAAGCCAGCAGCAGGAACCAAGAAATCAGCATTGTCAGGAACAAGCCAGGAGCAGAAACCAGAGGAGAACGTCAGCCAGGATCGGGTCATACACAGAATCAGACTACTCAGAGCAGCAGGAATGCACTAGCAGGGAAGACCACACAAGGGCAAGGTCAGACTGGACTGAGTGGTTTATATTGTGAGTGGGGTGACATCACTCAGAGACAGGAAACTCCCATCTGGCTCTCTCATATGATGCTCTCCTGTTTGGCCATAAGAAGGAGCCTGGGAGTAGTGAGCAACATTACAGAGTCTTCTCAGGCAAAGGAGGAATCACAGGTGGGTAAAATGGCAGCCAAGCCAGAATGCTGCAAACCAGTTAAGTCAGGGTGGATCCCTGACATTAGGCTATAAACTACTGGCTGCTGTCTTGAACCTCAATCTGAGCAGAATGAATAGTCCTGGGAGGTGGAGGATGGGCTGGGCGCAGTGTGTGCTGTGTTCCACCCACAGCTCCACCCCCTCCCCCGGTGTCATATAAGCCACCAGACTGTTAGATCCAGAGGTGGAGGGTGGGCCAGACACAGTGTGTGCTGCACTCCACCCATGGCTCCACCCTCTGGATTACATGCAGCCAACCAATGGGACCCAGGAAACGAAGAGGAAGCAGGAGGCAGCACATACAGCCCATAGTTCCTTCCACACCCCTATGCATTGTCATGAGAATCCAAAAAGGTGAGATAATGTGTAAGAGAGACCTTCTGGATTTATACACTCAATAGTTTGACACCTTTGGGTCTAAACAAAAGTTTAGAATTGTCTTCTGAACTGACATAGTAATCTTTTCCCCATAAGCCTTCTTGTACTAATTTTCACTTTTCACATCCTCTAGAGTCTAGACACACCATTTGTGGGAGGGGGTCCACATTTTGACACCAGACAGTCATCACCTTCGGTTTGCTTAGTCCTGTATGCCTCTTACATTCCTGTGCGGCTTGTTCACACCGTCTCTGGACTGTATCTGGATGTAGTTCTGCATGTGCGTTTCTGCACATTTGGGGTAAGTGTTTGGCTCCATGTACATACAGTATATATATATATATATATATACACACACACACCGACATCTTTTTGGCAATACAGTAAGCTTTAAAGAAGGGGGTTTAACCCCTGGAACACGTTCGCTCTAGTTCACTGACACATGCTAAAGGGTCCTCTGTATGTTTCTGTTCCTTATTTATGCCATTGGTAGCGGAATTATATGCTGATGATTTTGGACTGTACATGTGAGTAGAATGGCACTGTCTCTTATCTTTTTGCATGTATTGGAGGATTTCCCTATCTGTTTTTGAACAGCTGCCTTCCCTGGTGAAATCCGGTGTATGAAGATTCTGTTTAAGAACCTAGTGATCGCCATCAGCGCTGAGGTCTGGCCTTTTTGGGGCTTTTTTTTTTTACAACTCTCCAAAGACTAAATTGTACTTTCTTGTGCTTAACCCTTTATCTATGACCAGGTAATTACATGTTTACCTACTGTATGCCTTTTTAACAAAACACTGTATTGTGATACACTGCTGCATGAATTTTAAAGTTATATCATGTCTCATAGAAATCCCTTACGCAAATACTATTTAGATACAGTTAAGTAGATTACGTCCTCATTTAGAATGTTTACTTTCTTTTTGGGTCCTAGATTACTGTCTATATGCAATGAATATGATAAGTTTTAAATTTATAAATAATCTGCTTTTGTATGACATCTCTACCTACTTTTTCAGTGAACAATCCACCAGAATCCTTCTCTGCTCACTTGCTAATGGATTTCAAGTTTGAAAATGATATTCAGTAACACATTTAACCACCTATTTGATACATTTTGAAGGGTGCTTGTGTAACAAAAGTAGAATTCCTTGCTACTCCATAAACCTCACTCCCTCAAAGTCAATAAACAGACAGGTAATAAAAGCACTGAAAAGAATCCTGCCTTAAAGCAGAACTTCAGGATTTTATTTACCTTAAATGATTAGAAAGCTGTGCTCAGATGGCTGCTTGTTATTGTACAAATCCAATTTTCATTGACTCTGGATACTACAGACACTTCTCTTCTTTTGGCACTGCAGTAGAGAAGTTCTGGTGCTCTTACAGTAAAGGACCATGTCATGTAGCCTCCCCCTTCTTTCCTCTTGTCCATTCACGAAACACCTTTTATCCTTTTCACAAAATATAGGTGTTCTGTGAATGGATGAGGGGTGATCCTGTAATTCACCTCCTCCTCTCCCCTCATCCATTCACAGAACACCTTGTGAAAATCGCTTGCTATGTTGATCACACATTTTGATAATGCCACTTTGCTAACCACTAAAAGCAGTTAACATATTTTGTTTATGAAGCAGCCAAGAAAATGTCAGTGATTATTCACACTGGTGCGTCCATCCGAAAAAGTACAGGCCTACCCTTCAAGTTTAGGTGGATCAACTATTCTTTAGGATTTTAACTGCTTCACCTTTTATGCAACATTTATAGCTAAGTACATTATTCTACACATCTAGAAATTGTCTTCCTGCATATACCTAACCCCGCTACATTTTGTTTGCTTAAAATGATACACATTTGTGTACTTTCTGTACAGAAATCTCTGAAAATCCAGATTCTTATTTTTTGGCACTCTTAATGTGTACACCTGCCATTTTCTTTTGAATGGGTACTTGGTTTTGCCTGTGTCATGTCCTATCTTTTAAATAATTTGATACATATTACAGTTTGAACCTTACCAGTGCTGGGCTCACATTCTTCCAAATCTTCATCATCACTAGGACACTCAGCTGATGCAACCAGAAGATCATCAGAATTCTGGGGATGAAAATTCAGGTATTATTATTTTTATAATTTTATCAAAAAAGCCACAGGATTCACACAGGATTTAATAGTTTTATCTATCATTAAAAGGAGAACTCTGAGGTAAGTGATCTTCCCTCAACCTCATAGTTCGAGCCGACGTGTGACAATTAATCCGTCACATGTTGGCTCTATAGATCGTGAAGTGAGCGAGCTCATACTGTCGCTCGCTCACTTTCCGACCATCTTCCTGTAGAGAGCGGTGACTGTCAGTCACTACTCCCCGCAGGGATTCCACCGCCTCCCCGCTCCGATCCTCCAGCGCTGACTGGAAGAACGGACGGGGAGGGGCCAGGCAGAGCCAGCTGTCACTCACGCAGCTGGGTGGATCTCGACAGCATTGTCGGGATCCATCGGGGCTGCAGCACTCGGTATATAGCAAACTGTAGCTCACTATATACTGAGCTTTGGGTCACTGGAGGACATTCGTATATGTCCTCCTGTGACCCTTAAGAGAACTAAGGGATATAAAAGGTTACCCCATAGTTCTCTTTTAACTGTCATATAAATTAATACAGGCATAAGATTTCTAATGTGACATTTTGCTTATCAGTTTTATTTTGTTGAACCCATTTTATGTTAATCATTTTTTTAAATCAAAATAAAGCGAGTAAAAAATATATTTTGTACAGAAACATCAGTTTTCAGCCCATTGTTATCATGAGTATGGGCTGAATATACAATAGCAATATACTGTACATTAAAGTTGTTTGAATAATAATCTAGGTATGTTTCTCTACTCCACTGCCAACTTTCTAGGGTCCATGTTTACTTACACATACAGTATGTGCATTTGCAAGGCCTAACACAGGCTTGCAAATACCAGTCAGTAAAGAATCTCAGGCATTATATATAGGAAGATTACCATCCTTTTTGGATTGAGGACATTTCCCTTCAAATAATGTAAACACACTAAGAATCAGGTGCTTAGTCAAACTATAATAAACAATATGATTACAATATAATTAGGTGAACATGCACAGTGCTCTACCCACAACCTATAACCCCCAATACCATTTCAATGTGATTTTAATAAAAATCAGCGCAGTCAAAAAAACCTAAAACTTATAAGTACACAAATTAATACAATAGATATTGTCCAATAACAGTGTAAATCTGATATAGTGTCCAAATATTGCATAAAAAGGTTTTTGTTATCTACCATTGATCTGTGACCTCCCTTAGCAACTTCATATAACAATGATGTTCTACAAACCAACACCTCCACTTATATGAACAGAGCAACAGACTGAAATGACCCCTAAATCAATAGAAAGTCTGTATTGCTTTAATCAGTAAAATCTCCATTATCAATCCTCTCCTTTTACTTCAGCAATGTTCCACATTCCTCAGTTGCCAGGTGCAGACTGACATAGACCTCTCATATCCCCTCATAAAACAAAGACTCCCATAGAGTGATAGTGTGCAAACTTTTTAATAAAAACAGCAACGTCAAAGTAGAAAACTCACATGCACGTGTGCCATATCTAGCACAAGATGACACACTCAAGCCAGTCTCACAGCTCTGTGGTCTGCGTTTGCACTAGCATGAGGCTCCACCTCCCAACTATTATATGATTCTCTACTTCATCTAATCGGCAAAGGAGGGAAGTTTGCTAGCCAATTTGTATATGGACCGGTGAACGAAAAAAATCTACAATTTTGTGATAATCCCATAAATCAGTTTTGAACAATCATTTTATAGATGACGTTATAATAAATTTGGTAGGGAAGCAAAGATTCTCTGAAGGTATTTTTTCATATAAAATATTCATATCGCATTAATAAGGAGAGTATCACCAATTTTGAGAATAAGACTACGTGGAGAAACACTGGAAGGGGGTCTAGTATCCAATAATATTATAAATTTTAAAGTTAATAGAGTGGGGTCTTAATGATGGCATTGTGTTATCGATAACACTCGTTACAGAGTTAACATATGGGGAGAAAACAATTCTGACCAGGGTTTGAAGATAAAGAGGAGGACAACACAACCTAGGATGCTAGGATAGGAATAAATCTTTAATTATTACACATGCATCTGGCTGTTAGAGAACAGAGGGTTAATGGATCAGGTATCCTTTACCAATGTTGTGGCACTACACATGCTTGAGTTCTTGAAAAAGTCTGGATTTGGATGAAACAGGGCCAAGCATCCGAACGGGTGTCATCATTATGCCAGTACAGAGAATCACATGGTAGTTGGGAGCTGTAGCCTCTTGCCAGTAATGCTGAAATCCACAGAGCAGCAAGAGTGTCTGAAGAATGTTATCTTGTGCTAGTTATAGCACACATGCATGCATGTGAGTTTTTACATGAAATTTACTGTTTTTAATAACGTGTACAATATCATGCTGTGGGAGTTTTTATTTTATGAGGGAATATGAGAGGTCCATATCATTCTGCACCTGACAACTTAGCAATGTAGAACATTGCTGGAGTAAAGGAGAGGAATGATAGTGAAGTTTTTACTACATAACACACAATAGACCTTCTATTGATTTAGGGGTGATTTCAGTCTGGTGAGTTGCTCTGATCACTGGTAACGAATAATTATTTATGCAATATGTGGACACTTAATTTGATTTATACGGTTATTAGACATTATCTTTTGTATTCATTTGTGCAGTTATATATTATAAGATTATCTGTATATGCTGATTTTTAATTAGGCCAAGAAGAAAGCTCTGCACACTGCTTGCAGCTTGACAGCCAAGAAGATCCTATCCCCATACTGCAACCACCCACCTCTGATGCATTTCACCCTGACAGGCCTAATCATGATTTTATTTTAAGAGTGCTGTGCATGTTCACCTAAAAAAATCATATCTTATTTGTAAGTATAAGGGATGCTTACATAACAAAAAAAGTATTGCTTTATATTTTATAATATATATCTTTATATATACCATGTTTCTTATTTTCGGGGTAGGTCTTATTTTTTTTTTAATGTACAACAATCCAAAGTTAATGCAAATCCAAATTTAATAATCCAAAATGGCAAAGTTAATAATAGGGTGATCAGGGGTGCCGTACCTTTCCAAGAGCAATTTTGTAACCAATCGCTGGCCAGAATGAGCGAAGTGCACTTTCACAATCAATTCCTTACAGGCGGAATGCATTTGGTATCACTCCGCCAGTGACAGGAGCCAGCGCTATAGAGGAAGCATGCGGCTCTGCTCCCTCCGCTGCCGCCTCGCTTCCTCTAGAGCTGGCTTCATTGGCACCGCTGATTCTCTCCGGCGGCTCTTCAAGTTCCCCCTTATGCCACCTCCAGCCCTGGGAATGGTCACAACTAGGTCTTATTTTCGGGGTAGGTCTTATATTTCAGCAATTCCCAAAAATAGAACTAGGCTTTATTTTTGGGGTAGGTCTTATTTTCGGGGAAACAGGGTATATTGTAGCAGGTCATCATGTAGAGAGCAAGGAGAGGTCCTGTCCGGGGTTTTGTGTCACCCAGATTCCTCTCTTACACCTTACGGAACCTATAGTAAGCCCCCGGTTTTACACTTTGCCTCAGTGGCAATTTAGTGCAGGTGAGGCAAACAGACAGAGCTCTGGAGCCTGGGGAGCAGACAGTCTCCATCTGCTGGAGCACAACTTTGGTCATGGTGTTTTGCTGAAGCCTGACAAAAAATAGGTTTGTACAGGTTGGTAGTCAGGACAATACTACGTTTAGTTAGAGCCGGGACATGACTAGGATTTTGTTTTTGAAGTGTTTACTTTATTTGAGTACTGTATATAGCCTGTGTGTTGCACCAATAAATGTACCACTGTTTGAAGACAGGTCACTGGTAACTGACATGCAGCCAGCTTTATTTATAAAATGTTGCAGGTAGTAAAATAATAATAAAAACATAAACAGAAAATTCTAAAGAAACCTCACTAGTTTTTGGTGGGCTAGACCTATTCAACTCCACAAAAACACATTTATGGCAACCTAAAGCTGGCCATATACCAGGGACGTGCGGTCAGGTGAAGTCTGAAGCTGACAGCTGTTTCTCCGTTCACATCAGCTTCTATGAGGTTACACAGCAGGGAAAGCCTCCCCGCTGTGAACTTAACATGGATGGAGTGCTGCCTGTTAATTACAGGCAGCGCTGCATCCACTTTTGACAGGTAGTCAGGTTACACAACAGCAGGCTTCCCCACTGCTTATGTAATCTAACTTGGTTAGGCAAGAGTTGTCACAGCCTCTACTCTGTGTTAGAGGTGTGAGCTCTGTGTATGGCTTGGACCAATGGCAAAGCGCCATTGGTCCAAGCTGTCTAATCAAAAAAAGAAAAAAAGACCCACTGAGGCCATCGATCTCGATGCCTCAGCAGTGACGAGCAAGTGAGGGACAGGGAGGCTCCTCCGTCTCCTCCCTTACTCCTCCGCCCACACAGCTTGGTTAGCGAGCTGGGGAGGAGCTTCGGTGGGATGGGGTGGATCTTGGGTGGGGGTGGAGCTTCAGCGAGCTGGGGGATGCCTCACCCAGCCCAGAAGGCACAGCACGTCACTGCCATATACCCATGGATTTTCTGCAGATTTTCTATGGTCAGATGGAAAAAGTGCAACAGATTCCTTTACCTACGCTAAACTGTGTGAATGGAGGAATCTACCGCTGGGCCAAGCTTCAGTATGTTGCTAGTTGGCCCTGCTAGCTGTCAAAATACCTGAACAATCTGGATGCAGGCATTGTTCAGGTAGTTTGAGAGCCAGCGGGGCCAACTAGCAAGATACTGAAGCTTGGCCCAGCGGTAGATTCCTCCATTCACACAGTTTAGCGTAGGTAAAGGAATCTGTTGCACTTTTTCCATCTGACCATAGAAAATCTGCAGATAATCTATAGGTGTATGGCCAGTTTAACTCACACAGGGGGGAATTTATCAAAATCTGGAGCAGCTGTGCATGGCAACCAATCAGCTTCTCTCCAATTTGTTCAGTTAAGATTTGAAAATGAAAGAGAGAAGCTGATTGGTTGCCATGGGCAA